CTTCAAAACGATAAATAATTCAAATACAATTTTCATACATTATGCTAGCGTACATTTTTATCAGATTTTTACCAGATGTCAAACGATGTTCTTTTTCAGATTTTTATTCCATTTTTAATAACATACTCGATGTTGTTCTGTATATATACATCATCGTTCTAAAAAGTCTCAGATCATATCATATTTCAGTTGCGTGCTGTTCCTACCAAATTTCTCGACATTCTAGTGTCCATAATAATGTAATAAAAACAGACTTACAGCTCGTTAAATACAGGAATACCTCGGAGATATTGCGGGTTCGGTTCCGGACCACCGCAATAAAGCGAGTCATACGAATTTTTTGGTTTCCCAGTGCATATAAAAGTTATGTTTACATTATACTGTAGTCTATTAAGTGTGCAATAACATTATGTCTAAAAAAAACAATGCGAGAATTACCAAAATGTGACACAGAGACACGAAGTGAGCACGTGCTGTTGGAAAAATGGCGCCGATAGACTTGCCACAAACCTTCAATTTGTAAAAAAAACGCAATATCTGCGAAGCGAAATAAATCGAGGTATTCCTGTACTCTCTACTCACAAAAAACTGTTCCTAGGAGACCCTAATATTGACTGCGCAAAAGCCGCGCGTTGTTATATCTAATCGATGACAATAACAACAATAATATAAATTAATTTTGAAACTCTGTGACTACGGCGCACACTACAACGACAAACTTCTTGGACATTATCCGTCATTATATTTTAAAATAAAAACGACGTTTTAGAGACATGTTGAAGTTTCCGAAACGTCGTTTTAATTGAAATTAATGGATAATACCTAAGAAGTCTGTCGTAATAATAATAATAATATATATATATTTTAAATCTTGTCCGTCTATACCAATAAATTCTTATTAAATATTAAAATATTACAATAATTAACATTTAACGTTCACCCACACTAAAGTCAATATTGAGCATGATGTACATATACAGAACAACATCGAGTATGTTATTAAAATGGAATAAAATCTGGAAAAGAACTTCATTTGATATCTGATAAAAAAAATCTGATAAAATGTACGCTAAAATAATATATAGAAAATTGTATTTAAGTTAATATTGATTTGAATTTTTATATAATTATATTCACCTGAAGATAGTTCTTTTAGGAACTGAAACATGTCGTGAAAAA